GGTCGCACATACCTATAGTAAAACCAGATCTGGCCAATGATCAGAATGCCATGGACTACTTCAATTGAAAGAGTTTCTACTCGATTGTTCTACAGGCGTGTGTTGACGCCAATGGACGTTTTTGTTACACATGTGGGTATGCCGAGGAGCGTTCATGACGCAATGGTTCTTCGTCACTCGTCTATGTATAACAAACTTAAGAATGGCTCAGCCTTTCAACCGAATTTAACTAAAGAAATTCAGGGTGTAGATATACCACTTTTATTAATTGGAGACCCGGCCTACCCACTGATGACTAATCTGATGCGACCTTATTCAGGAAGGAATGGCTGACTCGCGACCAAAGAATCTTTAGCTACAAACTATCGTCATACCGGTACGTTGTCGAGACTACTTTCGGGAGGTTAAAGGGTCGTTGGCGAATGTTGCTGACCAAAAACCTCCACAATTTAGATTATCTAAGGCCCGTTGTGCAGGCGTGTTGTACCCTGCACAACATACTTGAGTCAGCAGGGACTCCATATAATACTGCCCTGAATGAAGGAGTCCCTGTAGAAGAGCCACAAAACGACCCGTGGGAGTATAATCAGTCTCTTGGGGAGCAAGTAAGGGAGGCCATTAAAGCAGAATTAATCAATTTTGTATGAACACTGATGGTCCTATGTATATATTTATTTATGTGGGAGTATAATCAGGCTCTTGGGGAGCTAGTACGGGAGACCAAAGCTGAATTGATAAATTTTGTATGAACACTGATAGTCCTATGTATATATTGGTTTAATTGAATAAATTTTACTTTTCATAAATGTTGTTTATGTAAATATTTACAGTAATGTAGCAGTACAGTTAAACTTGCTAAGGTTGACTGTCGTGCGCAAGTCAAATAATTTCTAAGTCTATCTTATTTTCCATTAACAATCTGCAAGTCAAATTTGATCATAGTCAAACAATATTTCAATGGCATTATGGATTCGACTTGGACAAGTTTAAATGGACGTCACAGCGGTATATATGAAGAGTTGCACCATTCGGCCGTCCTAATCTTGGTCGTCAGTGGGGAGAAAAAATACTATTTACTGTATATTTTCTACATATTACACTAAATCAACTACTGTAAGTAAGCCTCTGAAACCTCTCTAAATTGTGATATTTTCCGGGGGTTCGGCCCCGTGGACTGCTTTCCAGACATGGTAGTGGTTAAGTTCTATCAAAGACTATGAAATTTGTCAAAAAAGAAAGAAAAACTAACATGTACAAATATGGTCATGACCATATTATAAAGGCACATGATGGCATGTAAGCTTAACAGTTGGACCCAGCATATACTGTATTTAGATGCTACTGTACAAGTTCAATTTTTCAACACTTTATTTGGCAAAAACCAGCACTTATCTCCTAAATATCATGGATTTACGATGAGTTGTAAAGCTCCAATATAAAGACAAAATCACAAAAAGTTTAAAAACACAAATATTGTACAGTACAGTATAAGAAATAGCACTTAAAATTGAAATATCTTTGTTTTTATATCCACATAATCATATTGCATTTTGATGAGTTGTCAAGCAATTATAAAGGTGGTAGTTGGTAAAAAATACAAATGCAAAAATTGCACATTAAAATTGAAATTCATTCGTTTTCGTGGTAGTTGGTATGAAAATATTACACAAGTACAGTAAAAATAATACAAACTATAAAAATACAAATATGCAAAATAGCACTTAGAAATAATCATACTGCATTTCTCATGAGTTCTGCTATTATAAGGTGGTAGTTGGTATGAAAATATTACACAAGTACAGTAAAAATTAAAATACAAACTATAAAAATACAAATATGCAAAAACAGCACTTGAAGTTTAAATATCTTTGTTTTTATATTCCATATAATCATATTGCATTTCTGATGAGTTGTCAAGCTATTATAAAGGTGGTAGTTGGTAAAAAATACAAATGCAAAAATTGCACATTAAAATTGAAATTCATTCGTTTTCGTGGTAGTTGGTATGAAAATATTACACAAGTACAGTAAACGTTAAAATATGAAATATTGAGATGATTACATTACATTAATCATAAACCATTATTTAGCTGGCCTAAAAATGAGTTTGGGTTGGTACTGATGTTGGTACTGCTGGGGCCGCATGGCTGCTGCTGCCAACGCCTCTAAAACTCCGATAAGCCGTTCTTGATTTGCTGCAGTACGTCCCATCATCTGGGTCTGTTGTTCCAGTTGGTTATCTATTGCTTACTGTATCTTCCCTAATACCTCCATCTCATCCTTTCTCGCCTCCCTCAATTCTCTCGCATTCTCGTCGTGCATCGAACGAAGGCACCTACTCGTCTCCCGCATCTGGTCCTGCAAATGCTTAGCAAGTGAGCGTACACTCTGTTCACCTTTTTTGGTAGCTGTTTCATTGCGACATGCTGGCAATGTGACATGAACAAAGAAATTTATAACAGAGTATTCAACTGGAAACAGTTACTCACTGAAAAAAATCCATTGATACACAGGATAGCAACTGCAATTTATAGCTACAAACCGCTGTTTTGGTGCATGTTTATGACTAAACTACAATTACCTGGGTGAAACATATTCTCATTTTCCTGAACACCAGATGTATGTGCAGGGCTCGGAGGCGTTTGCCGGGCTGGGGTCGATGTCGCCTTTTGTGTAGGGATCAATGTTGCTCGTCTCACAGGGTTGGAAGATGTTGGTTTAGGAAAGACATTTGACCTTTAAAAAAATTTGGTGTATACAGTTATACAGCCCCGAAGAGTTAATTGAAAGGCTACAGCCCCGAAGAGTTAATTGAAAGGCTTCAATTGCAATAACTGATAGTATTTACCATCAATAAGACAGTATGATGCATTGTGAAATATAGACACAGTGGAACTGACATGCTTCAAGTACAAAACCTATAGTGTCGGTTCAGGTTTGATTAAACTGTGCTGAAATGCCGACAAAACCAGTAGGCTAACTAAACAGTAACAGAAACATGCAATTTCCTAAATTACCTTTAGAGCAGCTTTTACAGGTTACAAGGCAGCCATACCCTTCTTCCTGTGAATCTCTAGGCACGCTACATGGGGGAATCTGATGGCAGGGGCGACCGCAATCACCACACTTATGGTCTCCACACGGCATCTTGCAAGTGACACAAATTGATTCTGCAAACAAATTAAATGCTTTACTATTTGGACATGAATGAGAACAATACAGAGGATAATGAAACAAAATATGTGAGGCAACACAACATTAACACATTGTACACTTTTCGTTGAACTTGCATTTTATGGAGAAATAATATAGACTGTATACCAATGTACATTTTTTGAATTGAGCGTAGTAAGCATTTTCTTAGTTACTGCCTAGTAGCCTCCAGTAATACAAGTGAAATTTCTTTTTGTTTCTGCCTAATACAGCCTCCAGTAAATTACAAAGTTTCTCGAGTCTTACCATGATGACCGCCACTGGAAGTAGACAGTGTGTCCACGGAAGAGTCCGACAATCTCTGTGGAGGTGTATCATCTGCATTAAAAAATACCAAATTAACTTAATACAAGTGGAATTGAATGGAATGGAATACAAGTCCTAGCTAGTGCTTCTTTATTTAATATTAACAATTTTTATTACAAGCGAAAGGCCAGTTTACTAAAAAAAAAAAACAAGGGATCGATCCAAAACAGGAAACATATTATTACGCATTTATTATTATTATTATATTATATTATTATTATATTTTATAGGACAAGTAATAATAGTTGTTAAGATACTAACTAGGCCTAGCCTAGCCTATCCACCAGGTCCATAAATAATATCAATAATAAGTATTAATAAGGTTGTACCTCGGCCTAGTACTGGCACAGCACTAAAAACAAAATTTTGTTTAAAAATCATGATTATCAAGATCAACTAACCTGATGCTGTCGATGATTGCAAGCTAGGCCTGCGGTTTCTGATCCCAGGCCTGGGTGGAAGTGGCATCGACGATTCCCCAACGGTCCCAGGTGGAGGCCTGACATTTGGACAATCGCCGATAATGTTTCCAACCCTGTGGTAAAATGGCCAGTTTGGTGCCCAAGATCCTGATTTGTTAACCTCTTCCAAGAAACACTGTTTGAACCTTTTCCTCAAATCCTGTAACTTCGTCTGGATTTGTCGTGCCGTTGTCAGCGAGTGGGCCAGGCATAGACGAAAATCTCGCAGCGATCTTCTCATGAATTTTCGTTTTATTCTTGGACTTTTTATCCTCAACTTGCATTCTGACTTCGGGTTCTGCCCAAATCTCTATTAAATCGCTGATCTCTTCCTCGGTCCAACAGGCCCGAGGGCCAGATCCAGTTGAAAGTGACATTTTAGAGATACTGTATATATTAAAATACACAACCACCAAAACCGCAACAATTCAGAAAATGGCGTTTGTTTCCAAAATTCGCGCAAAAGCCAGCTACTTTGACCCCGGTAAAATGCTTGTGTCTGATTGGCTTTCACACAAAAGAGGTTACAGATCGCTGGCGACCCGCTTGCAAGCGGCTGTTCACATGGATCGAGAGCGAGCTGCATCGAGAGCCACTCGAGCGACTTGTCGTGGGTCACCCACAACAAAAACCGCTCTTGAGCGGTTGTTCGCATGAAGGCCTGGCTCGCGAGCCGATCGTTCGCTCGCAAGCGACCCAAGACATGTGAACGCGGTACATATTGTCAATGTCAAATTCCCAAAAAGTGGCTTCTTTATTGAAGGCAAATAAATGACAAGAAGTATGAAAAGGAAAATATGAGTTTAATTAATTCTGTGAAGTATTTTGTCGGACATCATACACATTCTTTTTACTTGATTGATGATTCGCAATCCTCTGATGTGTTTGGCTATGAA